GATTTGTGTTGTTTGTGTGTAGATGTGTTGAGAGAGAGAGAGAGAGAGAATGAGAGAACTAACAATGACAAATAACTCCGGTGCATAGGTTAAATTATACAATTGAGTGCCAAAGCAGGTTACAACCCTTTTGCAGCTTTTTCACAATTCCAATAAAGAGTTTTGCTGTCGCCCTCATCCCAGCGGTGGTCACCCTTACACATTGAATAATGAACGCAACTTAAACAATGCCGTGATGTGATGTGATGTGCACTAAGTGATGTGTGGGTTTGAGCACACACACGCGCCCACACGCACCCGCACACGTATACGCTCGCTCGCACGCACGCACGCACGCACGCACGCACGCACGCACGCACGCACACACGCACACAGAGAGGGAGAGAGAAATAGAAAGTGTGTTAGTTCAACATGTCTTGAAAATAAATCGAAAATTACATGATTAGTGTAGTGATCTTTCGTGATCACATCTTGTTGCTCATGAAGAGAATAGTTCTACTAAAAAGATAAGGGTCATAGTCAGAATGAAGGCTGTACATTTACTCAAAAGTGCATCAAATACCATCTCCTGCGATCTACATTTGGAAAAATTACTGGGGAGGACCCACAGACCCCCCACGCCTGCATGCGTACACATCCATTTCACCCTAGCTACGCCCCTGTATGTCACTGCGTAATATGGTTGAATATCGACTGCTTTTCGAGATATGCTCCGGAAACAAAATACCAGGCAATTTGCAAAATTGTGACCTTTTGACCTTCATATTGATCTTTGACATTCCTGAAAGTAGCTCACCCCAAAAGGCACATTTAGGGTATGTGGGGACGTCTGTATAATATATTTGGTCATCATGGGGTTTTGGAGATATATTCTAGAAACGAAATGTGACGTATGAACAGACAGACAAGCTGACTACAATAACACCCTCCCTCTACTCTAGGGGATAAATAAGGTGGAAATAATTAGCAAGTAATTATGTGTTCACTCACGCGTCACGTCATCAATCCATGTTTTTCTCAAACATAATGGATCCGACTGATGATGGATGTACTGGGCCGCAAACATCACGCAGCTTTGGTCTTCTCAATCTGAAAATAATGTCAGAATGTCAAAAAAAAAGCAGGCCTGCAGCAACTGTACGCGGGCTATAGTACTAGAGAGCTCTAGCTTATTCGTAAATTAACATGTGTACAGCTGATGTTAACAGTTAGTTGTTTAAATCTTTTTGAAACCCACTGTACACTGCCCAGTTGTGGTGGGACACTACTATCATAGTACTATGCATACAGTATTAGGACACTTATAGTAGCCTACAACGACATGAGAATACTCCTTGGCTTGCCATGATTCCATAGTGCTACCAGATATTTGCACATGTTAATGATGTACCGGCATGTCAGGCTGTAGTTAGAAACTAAATTTTTAAATTCATGTACCGTCTAAAGAGATCTGACTTGTTACTGAATGTGAAAGGGCTAGTATGGCTGATAGTGATAGGGTCTATGTCCCCCAGGGTACTGCCGGAGGGTACCCTGGGTACGGTTCGATATATCAGAACGTACCCCGGTACTATCTAATATGCCGGACCGTGCCTCGCCTACTCCACTAACGAGTGTAGGGAGTCGCCTACACCTACTCCCTAACCCTAACCCTAACCATATCAGATGTTAGGGTTAGGGTTAGGGTTAGGATTAGGGTTAATAGGGAGTAGGCGTAGGCGACTCCCTAGACTCGTTAGTGGAGTAGGCGAGGTACGGTCTGGCATATTAGATAGTACCAGGGTACGTTTCGATATATCGAACTGTACCCAGGGTACCCTCCGATAGTACCCTGGAGGACATAGACCCTCTCAGCGCTAGTATGCCCTCTAATCAGTGATGTTATCTACACGTCCAAAATCTGGAAACACTGGTACAAACTATTGTATGTCAATTTTGATAATGGATGAGCTATGGTGCTATGTTAGTAATAGTATGTATAAATTGTGCATGCTTGCCATAATCTTATATTAATAACAATAATAATATGTAGTCCTAGTTCTATTATTGTTATTTTTATTAGTCACACCTATGGACCGATATATCTAACTATATGCATATTTTTGAGTCTAAAATAAAGCACTGAATTGAATTGCTATGTCGGGCTAAGTGGGGCTGAAAGGGTCTATGTCCCACGGGGTACTATCGGAGGGTACCCTGGGTACGGTCCGGTATACCGGAACGTACCCTGGTACTATCTAATATGCCGGACCGTACCTCGCCTACTCCACTAACAAGTCTAGGGAGTCGCCTATGCCTACTCCCTAACCCTAACCCTAATCATATCAAATAGTGACCAGGGTACGTTCCGGTATACCGGACTGTACCCAGAGTACGTTCCGGCAGTACCCTGGGGGACACAGACCCTATGAGCCTAAGTGGGCAACTGCAAGCACAATACCTACTGTATCGACTATCGGTATGGTTAAACTGCGTTAGTATCTAACTATCAGAAAATCTGGTTTAGGGCCAAGTTCAGTGCCTGTATCAGGCAACACAATGAATAGTAGTTGGGTCCAAAGAAAGTAAAACATCTGTAAATAAGCTATGGTATTACTAATAGTAATACTAATGCTCATAGGGTCTATGTCCCCCAGGTTACTGCCGGAACGTACCCTGGTCAGTGGTCACTATTTGATATGGTTAGGGTTAGGGTTAGGGTTAGGGTTATGGTTAGGGTTAGGGTTAGGGTTAGGGAGTAGGCGTAGGCGACTCCCTAGACTCGTTAGTGGAGTAGGCGAGGTACGGTCAGGCATATTAGATAGTACCAGGGTATGTTCCGGTATACCGGCAGTACGGTCTGGCAGTACCCCGGGGGACATAGACCCTCTCAGCAATACTAATAGTCTAATAGCAATAGTAATACTAATAGTAATAGCTAATACTAGACGGTAGACCTACCTCGACATTGCTGGCCGCAACTCTTCCTCAGCCGGAGACTAACGTGAGTGTCACTTGATTCTGTTTGGCGCCTAACGTTTTCCTCTGACCAATGCCCCACACCGACGAAGTTGGTGGATTTGGTGTGGGTTAGATGTGAGCATTGGTCAGAGGAAACTCGGACTATCGCGCAAAAAATGGTGCCATGCGCGATAGATCGTTGTTCGGGTTAGATCGGTCGACATAGACAAGAATCGTATAGTTCCAGAAACTGCCGGTAAAATTGCAGTCAGACACTCAATTGTTAAAACGTTAGTTATGTAAATCCTGAAATAATACTGGGAAGAGATGTGATACACATACAAATGTATGCATGTCATTTTGTTGCAAGATATATCAACATTTGTTGAAGTTATTCACGATTTTTCGATGGTCGCGCTAAAGGGGAAATTTTTAAATTCCATATATCTATGTTATGTCTTTTCTCAATGGCTACTTAACTAAGGCTACTGAAACGTTAATGACTGGAAGATGAAGGTTCGTCCAATGATACGTTACGTTTCAAACGGGATGCAACGCTGCCTTCTCATAGTTTCACTGGCAAATCAATAGGGCGACCGACGCCGGTCGTCATAAGGCAAAATATACTATATTTTTATGTTTTAGGACGACCGTTGGTCGCGGTATGTAGCAACCCATATATACATGTATATATATATATATATATATGGTCATGGTCATATATTACTACCGATGCCATTTACCGGCCTGTTTATCAAATGTAGGCGGGTTTCTCCGTCTTACAAGAAGTGTGTAGAAATGTTAACACTTAATATTCAAAGCACAAAAGAGTGAGACAGTGCCACAAAGAATAAGATTTATTCAAGGAAGCTTCTTGCAGTTAATAGAATAATACACGTACGATAGTACACGAAGAGGTGCTGAGTGGTGCGGTGCCGGTGCGAGTGCAACTTACACAGCTATAAGAAACTACGTTTAGAAATATAGAAAGATTATTGCACCTACTAGAAGATAGCTCACTACGATAAAACAAATAAGAATCAAGATAGATATAGATCTATAGTGGCAAGAACCCTAAGCCATCAGTTAAAGAATGAACTTACATAGTCACGGTCTCAATAACGATGCACGTCACACAGGCACAGACAAGGTTAGACACAAAAAGATATGGAAACGCGGGTGGTGGGGTATGTGACGCACGCGCGAATCTTACATGCGACCCCCCGTAGCGTTTCCCTGCGACTTTCCACGCACCCTGCAATCGCTAGCCATATGCCCCAATCGTTGACAATTATAGCAACGTACAGGCGCACGTGGCGGCATTGAGGGGAACTGCTGCGGATAAGGTGGGGCGGGTAACAAAGGTACCGTCGTATCCGGTTGACGAGTAGGAACAGACGAAGACTGACTGGGAAACACAGCACGTGCAGCTGTCATGGCGGCTGCAAAATCATTTTTAACACTAATCAACATTTCCGCATGCTCCTTCATCGTGGCTGTCAATTGCTTGAGTTAGTGGGACATGGTTTCATATTCGTTAGCACGAGACACCTCCTCATTACGTGAGACGCGTCGTACTTCCGAATAATTCGCCACTACCGCACCCTCGTCACCCATACTTACCGTGGGTTGGTGTGCGGCGCGTGTACGCTGCATCGCAACTAACTCTGCCTCCACCACTGTTTGCGCAACACAGATTTCGACTGCCCGTTCCAACGTTTGAGGTTTAGACTTTATTAATGCGCGTTGTGTGGGGATTAAAATTACAGCCTCGGTAAAAATCGATTAATATTATTAGTTTGTGGTTTAATGTCATTTCGGTTAGGGTTAAGGTTAGGGTTAGAGTCATCATTATCAATCATTAAAATGATATCAAAGTTGGGAACACTCCTAATGGAGCGTTAGCCGGGTGCTAATACAGACTGCTTTAGAAAATCATATGATTTAAGGAGCGTAAACCTTGTTCAACAAACTTTTGCCTTGGCAATTGAACTGTGCAACTGTAGCCTCACATCCACAATAGCAAAAGCAGTTCAGTCCTTTGTTAACAGTCAACAAATCCATGTTTAACCCTCCTCTTGAGGGTCAAAAGGTTATCAGACACTTACTCTTCGCACGTCAGCGGAAAGTACATTTTATGGCCCTTTCAATAAAGTGATAGAAATGGTAGGTCAGCGCTGAAACAAAAAAGTTTTTCACTCTGTACATTAGGCCACTCTGTCCTCAGAAAATGTCTGATATCTGACCTTTCCCCCACTGCCCGTTGACCTGTGACCTCAAATTTCGCACTGGTGATGGGTTTCCTGCCCATCACACTATACACGGAATATTAAGAGCATAGGTCGAGCCGTTCAGATTTGTGCCGCAATTCCGTATTTCCTCCTATACCTTAAGTTAAAGGGGAAATATTCCCCCTCCATTTACACCTCTTGACCTTTGACCCTTGAACCCCCAAATTGGTCATCCTGAGTCCTTTTCGCGATCCCCCCCCGACATCCCGAATATCAAGACCGTATGTAGAGCAGTTAAGATTTGTGCCAACTGTTGACGGACGGACGGACGGACGGACGGACGGACGGACGGACAGACGGACGGACGGACGGGCAATCATGCATTGCAATCTACAAGCTGCAGCTGACTTCGTCAGCTGAGCTGAAAACAAGGGCCGCATGAGCGACAGTGCTCAACTGAGGTCTGCTGCTCTACTGTACTGGCCTTTGTTTCTGAACTGCAAAAGGTTGAAAGCCTGTTCCATCGCTAAACCGGCTACGTCGTCATCAAAACTGTTTAGCATCGGTATTAAGGTAGCTAGTGGGGGTTGAAAATATTTTCTTTAATAATGTGGGGGCGGGTGAGGTGGGGTCGTCGAACGGCGTCGGGTATGTACATGGGCTGATGGACGGGGCGAAATGACTCACAGCGATGGGATCAAACGATCGTGGGCACTCTGCCCAGTCTTTCAGCGCTTTCACGCGGGGAGTGGTGACACTTGTATCTGGGCATTCGGGGGCTGGGGGGCAAGGGAAAGATAGACTGCCTGGGAAATTTGAAGTCTTTCCCAGAGGGTGAATTGATGGCTTTCATGGAAGTCCTCTGCATGCACGATGGAGGTCATCTCGAAGGTCAACTGTATTTGCTAAAGATGCGTGTTTGTGGTGCTGCTTGGTATGAAACACAGGGAGAGCACGGAAGTGAATGATGCCAGGAAACAGCTCTCACACAGAAGTCTAGAACTCCAGAGAACATCGCTCAACCCAAGGCCGGACATCAAGCGTCCTTGCTAACCGGGGCCAACTGTTGAACCGAAGCATCTGTCAGTGGGATCCAGAGATTCCAAACCATCTGACTAGGGGCTGGACAAAGGAAACAACTGGGGGTGGGCATGCCCTCTTTGGACCAACTTCTCCCTAGGCCTAAAAGCAGGCACAAATCGTGCCATGAATTGATCCGCTGTCTCTGCGAGAAAGCAGCGCACTGGACACTGCAAGTGGTCCAAAGCTGCTCTGTGCTGCTGTGGTGCTGTGTGCTGTCTTGTGTGTGACTTGTGCTGTGTGTCGTTCTGTGTGCTGTGTTGAACACTTACCAATAGGATATGTGAAAATAGATATTTGACTTTTTTAAAGACGTAAATCGAGCTTGACCTTGCCTATAAGCGCTGTCCTTGGAGTTCAGTCGATCTCAAAGGTATCACCAAATAATGTCATCCCCCAATTTAGTTGGAATCCGACACCTTAATGTCTTTCTAAGCCATTTGGTTCCAATTAGCGCTTTGAACATTTAAGACACGGTGAATGGCGGCCATTGGATTTAGACCAAGTCCTCACAGGTCTTCAGAGGTCAAAATCTGACATTCCCTCCAGATCTTCAAATAAACATCATGTATATATCTAATCTATCTAGAAATTTCATGCTTTTCTCATCAAAAGTGCACAATTGTTGTGGCTATCTGCTGCATCTAGCATGCCATCGATTCTACAAGCTACTTCTGACTATGTCAATTGATGCTACAAAATGCTATCCTCAAAGCATCAATACGCTGTAATATAAGTTGGAAGTCTACAATGGAATACGCTATTGACATGTTCAAGCGAGAAAACCACTGACGAGGAGTGTCGCCTCACATTTGAGAGATAATTGTGATCATAAATTTAGCTGGTGCAGATCTATGAAGGTATGTCCATTAGCATTCAATATATCAAATACAAAAACGTTTGTACAGAACGTAATTTTGACCGAGCGAAAAATCAAATTGAGGACATCAGAATCAAGCCGGCACCGTCTCTTATAAAACATGAGTTTGTACAAATGCTCGAGAGGCATATAACATAACGATCCATTTCTACTAACCAGAAAGCTGCTTTGTATCGTGCCAGCTGACTCATAACATAGATCCCGTGCACGCTCTTATTATCACTGTCTCTGGCCAAGTAGTTTACCACAATAAAAAGTGGACTTCAGGAATAAGTTTCTCCAATTGTGACCCTCCCCATCTGGAAAAATGAATTAACTTAATCGATTTATTTAAATAGATTCACACTGTTGAAAATCCTCTTTTTAATATCCATTTTTTACTCGGCAGGAGAAGAGGCGAGGAGAGGAGAGGGAGACAGAGAGAGAGGGAGAAGGGAGAGGGAAGGAATAAGAATGGGGGAGGGAGAAGTAGAGAAGAAGAGATAAGAACGAGGAGAGTGGACAGAGAGAAGAGAGAGGAGCACGAAGATGAGAGAGAGGACAGAGAGAGAGAGAGCACGAAGAGGGAGAGAGAGCAGAGAGAGAAAGAAGAGAGATATGAGAGAGAGAGAGGAGAAATGAGTATGCAATTAAGAGAGTGAGGAGAGTGAGAGGTGCATAGGTTAGATTTATACCAATTGGAAGTGGCCGTAGGCAGAATGCAGCGTTATGCGAACCCTTTTTGCTGTGTTGAGAAGATTCAAAATTTAAAGCCACAGGGAGCAGAGATGTGGAGTGCGGAGTCGAAAGAGAGTTGTGGCAACTTGACACAGATGCCGGGTCCGGAGGCAGTGGAGAGCTTGGGAGGATGGGGTGATGTGTGGGTGTTTGCTGCGAGCTGAACAGCAAGGGCACTTGCTGTTCCTAACGTGGGTCGGTCCCCAGCTAGACCACCCGCACACGGGGTATA